CGCGGCCTCTAATCCCTACCTCTTCTGGGAGAGTGGGTGAAAGTAAGTGAACAAAATAACTCCTTATAAAATTAAATAATCAAATAACTGACTATTGTATATAATAAATGCATTTGTGGAAAAATTTTTATTTTCAGCCTAGTTTTAAAAGTGCTAAGACATTCACTAGCTCTCAGGTTTCTTGGGACCATATTGATTAAAAGTTGCCTCCCCCCCCCCAGCTGGGTTTTAGGAATGGCCAGTGACCATTGCTCTATGTGCCATCAAGGTGGGGGTGTGGTTTGGTGGTGTAGGACACTATGCTAGTGACAGGAATGTTGTTGGCTCAGATCTCAGGGTGATTTTTTACCAGTTGGTCCGTAATCCCGACTCTCCCAGGTCCTGTCTGGTCCTGCCCTGTTAAAAATGTACTGTATGTCACGCTGGGTAAAAGCATTTGCTACATAAAATAAATGTAAGTTCAGTAGACATGTGCCCCTGCTTTATCTGTTGTGTCGGGCATTTTGCGTTCCAGTGGCTATTTCCCCGCAAATGCAGCTTCTTCTCCAGTCTGGCCATAAGCCAGCAGAGACTCTGTGTGAGAGATGCTGCTGTACCTTATCACCCAGGACCTAGCCCTGCCCTCAGTCCCTCCAGCCAATACAGAGCCATTCAATTCTTTTCTGGGCTTGAGCTTCAGGGACAGCAAGAGTTATTGGATGATGGAAAAATCTGGTTTTCGGCGCGGGAGCCGTGACTAAGGTAGGTGGCAGACTGAGGGCAGCTGAGGCCTCACATCTCCCAGTCTGCCACCAAGCCGCGTGTCCATGACCTCGCTGCCCCTAAGCCTGAACTTCACACGTCACAACATATCAGTTTCCAAGAAAGTGTTGTTATATTGACATGTACCTGTATAGTAGCAGTTAAAAATTGGTTTAACACATTTGTCTGTATTTTAGCTCTTTTATTCACCTTATAGGAAAAGGCCTCTAGATCACCCAATGAAATATTGCCACAACCAACAGAAGTGTTCAATATATCAAATATTTTCTTCAAAATAGCCCCCTTTTGCTTCGATGACATCATTGCAGACTCTTGGCATTCTTTCAGCCAGCTTCTGGATGTAGCCACCTGTAATGCTTCTCTAACCGGCCTGAAGGAGTTTCCACAAGGTCTGGCCACTAGTTGGCTACCTTGCTGTTACTCTTTGATCCAAATCATCCCAAACCAGCTCTACAAGGGTTTAGGTTGGGGGATTTTGGGGGCCAATTCATCTGTCACTGCACTCCATCTCTTTGCTTGCTCACAACATAACAAAGTACTTACATATTCGTTAGGTGTTGTCATGTCGTATTAGGTGTGCCTGGGCTTTTTGCCGGCACTGTATTATGGCCGTATCTCTTTTTAAGGAGCTGTTTCCTTGCTTGGGAAGACAGTTTTTTTTTTTAATAAAAATAGTTCCTCCTTGACTTTGTAATTTAGTTTTTTGTGGAAATTTCACATACCATCAACAGATGTTTATGTTCATAAGCAATTATACATTAATTAAAGATATCAAATATTTTGCATTTTAAAATGTTGATGATATGAAGGACTGAGCTGCAGAAGTTCCCCGTATTTTATCTCTTCCAACATAAATATGTTAATTTCTGCTTCAGAGGCGTCATTTTTCTCCAGATATGTCTGTTGTTCTGTTTATTCTGCTCTATTTCTATCTACTGCAGGTAAACAGAAAGCAGAATTATACTTAAAATGAATCCAATTATGAATATTTAATGAGCATTAAAGGAGGGAAATTAGTTTTTTCTGGGATAATTTGTTAAATATTTGGAGCAAATAGAAGCCTTGCAGTCAGTGCTGAGGGATGATGGCTTCCCCTCCTCGCCTTCATTCCCCTCCTCGTCTTCATTCCCCTCCTCGCCTTCAAGTCCCCGATGAATCTGAGCCGTCTTCAGAGCCCCTTTCCCTGCATTTTAAAATCTGCTTTGTTTTTTTTCCATTTGTGTGTGGTTGTTAGAAGTAATATTTTGTTATTTTGTTGTCCATAAATGAAGGAATATCGCAGTATTGCTTGGCCATCCCGATCACTATGGGCAGTAAATGCCGAAGGAGCTGCATGCCCAGGGCGCTGCATGCCCAGGGAGCTGCATGCCCCAGGGCGCTGCATGCCCAGGGCGCTGCATGCCCAGGGAGCTGCATGCTCAGAGCTCATGCACATGTGCTCCTATGTCACCTCTGCAGACGGACCTCGTGGTGCAATGGTAGCGCGTCTGACTCCAGATCAGAAGGTTGCGTGTTCAAATCACGTCGGGGTCATTATAAGTTAGTTAATATTATTATTCCACTGTGATTTAGTGATATTGGCGTGCCGCTCAGTGGGTTGGCACTGAAGGTTGTAAATCCTGTGGTTGGCAGAGTGATTGGGAATAAAATACCAGCAGTACTGTGGGACTTTAACCAGCTATGTTGTCCTTCGCGGCCTCTAATCCCTACCTCTTCTGGGAGAGTGGGTGAAAGTAAGTGAACAAAATAACTCCTTATGAAATTAAATAATCAAATAACTGACTATATAATAAATGCAATTGTGGAAAGATTTTTATTTTCAGCCTAGTTTTAAAAGTGCTAAGACATTCACTAGCTCTCAGGTTTCTTGGGACCATATTGATTAAAAGTTGCCCCCCCCCTCCCCAGCTGGGTTTTAGGAATGGCCAGTGACCATTGCTCTATGTCCCATCAAGGTGGGGGTGTGGTTTGATGGTGTAGGACACTGTGCTAGTGGTTGGGAGGTTGTGGCTTAAATCTCAGAGTAATTTTTACCATTAGGTGCTTAATTGTTGGTAGTTTGCATATTACCTCACTGGGATCTACTAAGACACCAACCCTGAGCAGAACATTGCTGTACTCTGCACACAAAAATATCTATCTATCTATCTATCTATCTATCTATCTATCTATCTATATCTATCTATCTATCTATCTATCTATCTATCTATCTATCTATCTATCTATATATCTATCTATCTCTCTCTCTCTCTCTCTCTCTCTCTCTCGTGTATATATTACATCGTTGGGATCAAATGTCCCCACAGTGTGATTAAAAACCTTATTTTGGCATTCCTCCTCACAAGGGGAAACTCAATTTTACAAAAATCTGCAATCAAAAAATTAAGTCTTGTTTTTCGCTTGGTTACTTATGGTTACGGTTAGGGCTAATGTCGTCATTGTTGGGATTAGGGTTTTGCCCATAGAAATGAATGGATGGTTCCAGCAAAGATATAAGTACTGGTGTGTGTGTATGTGTGTGTGTGTGTGTGTGTGTGGCAGAGAGAGAGACTCTGTGTGACTCTGGCTCTCTGTGTGTGACTCTGACTCTGTGTGTGTGTCCCTGCCACCCAGTTCCCAGAGTGCGCACAGTAGTGTACTGGACCTGCTCTTCATACCCTGAGGAGAATGAGGAAGTGGTCAGGAAGGTCCTGAAGGAGCAACCCTGCAGTGCCACGCTCCAGCCGTACAGGTAACTCTCCTGCACAGGCAGAAGGGCGGGCAGGAGAGACGTCACAGGCAGAATGGCGGGCAGGAGAGACGTCACAGGCAGAAGGGCGGGCAGGAGAGACGTCACAGGCAGAAGGGCGGGCAGGAGAGACGTCACAGGCAGAGGGACGGGCAGGAGAGACGTCACAGGCAGAATGGCGGGCAGGAAAGACGTCACAGGCAGAATGGCGGGCAAGCCGGATGTCACAGGTAGTTGGAGCGTCACAAGCAGCAGGGTAGACAGGAGAGATGTCAGAAGGCCTCTGCTGTCATGACCTTCTATGTCTGGCAGATTGACTCCACCTCCGATGTCAACATTGAGCAGCTCAGATGAGGAGAATGCAGAAGAGAGGTTCTTTAAGTTGGATGCTTCTGAGGAAACCAACGGCTGCTTCATGGCCGTGCTGACCAGAGAGGTGAGTGTGAACCACAGTCCGACACACGCACAGCTGTTTGTAATGTGGTACTGAGATACAGGCTGGGCTTTGGCTGTTAGTGTCCAAACCCAGGTTTTGGTGTAATAATTTTAAGGCATCGATATGGCTTTTGTTAGTTTAATCCTGTGAGGGACCTTCTGCTTGGAAAAAGCAGTGGCCAAGGTTTAGTTTATGGGAGGGGGGCTACATGGTGTCATCATGCACATGCACACCAGGCTGAGGTAGCTGGGTGGCAGTGGGGGGGGGGTCTTGCTCCTGTAGCCCCCAGTGGCCTGCGGGGCACTCAGCTGCTACCAAGCTTCTCGTCACGGTGTCCTGAGGACGTTACGGCCTACTTCTGCTTTTTTAATTCCGATCTGCTTCTTCTTCACCCCCAGAGCTGTGGTCAGTATTCAATAAGCCCCCGTTCTTTCTGTCCAAAGTGCGCAGAGACAGGTACACCCAATTTTAATCCACTTTGTCATTCTGCCTTTGTGATCCATAACTCCAGGCTGAGGACACGGCCAGATCATACCAACAGGACAAAGGGCGGGGTGGGGGGGGGGGTTGGGGGGCAAGTGGAATCTGCTAAACCAGTGTTTCCCAATCTGATCCTTGGGGACCCACAGACAGTCCACGTTTTTTGGGAACAGGGAGGGAGCAAAAATCTGGACTGTCTGTGGGTCCTCAAGGACTGGATTTGGAAACACTGGTTTAGCAGATTCCACCAGTACCCCTGCTCCTTTGTACTTTTGGCATGATCCAGCAGGATGGGCAGGATTTTCTTAGAAAAGAGAGCATCTTTTACTGGATTGAAAGAATTGGTACCTTACTGATGTGAGCGGTAAGTTCCTGCCTATTCCCTGCGAGGTGTTTGTAGGTGTAACCCTGGAGGTGTGTGGGGTGCAGGAGAAAGGAATAGAGCAGACGCCGCTGTCGTTCCTGAAGTTTATTGAGCCCTCTCTGTTGGGAACAATTAGAAGGGGAGATAAACCTCATGTGCTCAGGCCCTCTCGTAAAGTAAGTAAAATACGGCATATGCTTATCATATACAGTATAGACATGTGTTACACTTGTATTACATAATAAGTCAAATGATTATACCCAATAAGTGATTTATTAACCCGAGGGACCCTGCCACTAGATCCTCACCTCTTCCCGCGTGTGGATCGGGACCCTTATAAAGGGGAAAAGACAGAGGGAGGGGCGATGCAGGACAAGAGCATCATGGGAAAATTTAAGGGATATTGTTCCCATCAGGTTAAGCAAAAAAAAAGAAAACAAAACTTTGTATAATTATAAACAAAAGTAAAATAACCTGTTACATTAGAAGAGTCAGTTTTTTGACTTGGTAAAATACATTTTTTAATGTATCCATTGGGTGTAGGTTCCATAAGTAAGCGTTATATTTTCAAGCCATGGCTGTTTTGCGACGTTCACTTCCAATCGCATCTGAAGAGACAGGGGTTAGCTGTAGTAAGCAAAGTTAGGCAGTCAGCAAACAAGCTAAGATGTTGATGATATTTTCCTATGAATCATGCGTGATCCTGCAGTCTGTGACATTTTTGCACAACGCTTGCCGGCCCATGGTCATCGAGTCGTTGGGACGCCCTGCACTGGGGGTGTCAGCGGCGGGTGGCGTCCATCACCACAGCCAGACGCCGAACGCAGATGAAGATGTTCTCTCGCATGTTCTCTTGTAATACATGTCTCTGGGGGAGCGAGGCAATCCGGAAAGATCTGCCAGGCCCTGAGTGACAGACCGACTTCATTTGAAGCCGGCTGGTATTTGCAGAGCACATTTGTAATGCAGGGGGGTGGATTAATGTCGGAGAGGATGTGGGGCAGCGGGAGATTATATTAACATAAATGTCCAGCTGTACAGATCGCACAGCTGGGCCGGGGGGGGAAGCAATAGGAGCTTGAAACATGAAATGGGTCATGACTGAGCCGAAACCCCCAAAGTCTCCCTCATTAACTCCATCTCTGGGATTAACAAGTTTCTGTAGTTTGGATAGAAGTTTAGCCTTCGGATTGTGTTCGCTTTCTGTTCCTATCTCTTATGTAAGACGGGTCGGTGCCGACCCGTTTCTTAAATCAGCCTCAAAACAATCATCCAATTTGTTTCTTACCTCTTGGTTACCTTGTTAGGCTTCCTTATCCATGAAAATATTGGTTTTAATAGTTTTGGTGTGGCTTTCTGGACCTTTCTTTTGACAGCATTCAATAAAAAAATAATGTTAAAATAAACCTCAAGAGAATTATATAAATAAACTGAATTGGTCTTATCTTGCCTTACACATATGGACATGCCTTGCCTTGATTTTGTTTTAATTTACTTTGTTTAAATAGAGATTCCTGACAAAGTCAAAAAGCCTTGATGCAGTACACAAATCTATGTGGTGCTTTTATGCATTTTAAACTTAAAAACCGACCCCAACACCACAGGAAGGTTAAACTTTTACTTGAAAACATTTGTTCTTAAATACTGAAGCTCCCAGTGCAAATGTTAGAGCTATGGTCAGTAAAAAGCATTCTGTGATGTAGACGACTAACAGTTTGCCTCCACTCAAACCAAACTTTGCGTGGGGCCCACAAAGTTTGAGGCCCCCTGTTGGTCACAATCAGTCACTACAGCAAGTGGCCCCAGAAACGACAAACCCGCCCCTGGTAACAGTGTGGATTCCCTGATCCATTCAGCCGTGTTGCTTAAACCGCTACAGGGAAATGTGCAGAATAAAAACGTGATTCTGCCCCCTGAGGGAGCAATTTCAGGCCCGTCCCACTGGGCTGAGGCTCCTAGGCAGACGCAGGAGGGATTTCATCTCCCATCCAGCAGGGGGGCAGCTGGGGGCAGATATAAATGACCAGCGACGGTTTTGGGAAGGAGCAGGTCTTAGAGTGATGTCATTTCTAAATGACGGTCTTGGGAAGGAGCAGGTCTTAGAGTGATGTCATTTCTAAATGACGGTCTTGGGAAGGAGCAGGTCTTAGAGTGATGTCATTTCTAAATGACGGTCTTGGGAAGGAGCAGGTCTTAGAGTGATGTCATTTCTAAACATCCCGAGATGCTTGGTGTGCCGATACAGTGTGAAACTGCTAAGATGAAAAGAAATGTGAACCGAAGAAGCAATTTCCATCTTCTTTATTATGGCGATCATGATTATTTTTTGTCTGGGAAAAAAGACAGATCCTTGCAGAGAGGCTAATAGCGCTGTGGATTTCTGCTATAAAATACGACCCTTATCGCATTTTGGGATTTCTGACACTTTGTTATAATCTTGAGGTCCTTCTAGCCTTATTCAAATGTGAACTAAAAAGTACTGTCGAGTCCATTTTCCTATTATTTATTAGATAAATACATTGTATATTATATGTAATTACAATCAAGGTCATTTTTTTCTGCATAGAGGATTTTTTTGCATAATGAATATAATTTTAACAAAACAGCAGACATTTCATGCAGAACAGGATCATTTTGCTGTAACAATCTCATGCATTCTAAAAAGTTTGCAGAACTCTGATTTAAACAGCACTTTTCTGTCACAGTCATGTTAACACCCTGATGAAAGATGATGCCACAGCCATTAGCTCAGTGAGTCGCTCATCTGGTCTGTAAGCTTGGTGAGCAGCTCGGTGAGCAGCTCGGTGAGCAGCTCGGTGAGCGGCTTGTCTGGCCTGTAAGCTCGGTGAGCGGCTCGTCCACCTCACAGTTACAGCTAAGTCGGGCGTGAGTGGGCTGGGGGGGAGGGGACATTTTAAAGCCGTGATTTGAGTCCGAGTGTCAGGGGGCCTCACGGTGCTGGGCTCAGGGATTACGCGGAGCCGTCTGAAGGAGCAACAGCACACCTCACCATGTTATTCACTTACTGATGGGAGAAACAAAGCTTTGGTACCCAAAGTGGGCGGGGCTACTGTGTGCTGTCAGTCTGACTAGACTTCACCCAATGGCTGTGTTTGAATTCAGGGGTTGCATCCTTCTACGGCTGCATTCGAAGTCTGAATACGTTACCGCGGTGCAACAAGGCCGTCCCATTTGGAAGGCTCCTTCGAATGCGGTCTGGAAGTGCAACCTTCTCTTCCCGCTCCACAAAGGTTGCACCTGATGGATCCTTCACAGCCCAACATATCCCAAGATTCATTGCACAGAGGTAATGTGGGCGTGTCCCGGCTAGACAATAGGAGCAGTACGTCATGACTCAAGCGTAAGGGAGAGAACAGCTGGTGACGTAAATAGGAAATTGTCTGTAGGCCAGACTGTTTCATTTCACACTGCTTTCTGTTCGACCTCTGAAAAACGCAGCTTACAAAGGCTACGCCTTCGTAGGAAGCAGCCCCTGAATTCAGACACAGCCAATGTGAATATGCACATTGTATCCAATGGGAAGGAGGATTAAACCAGAAATCCTGCCTACCTTGACCTTCAGGGTAACACATGTGATTCTGTGACATACCCAATCGTAAGATGATTCTATGAAATAGCCAATTTTAACACATGTGATTCTGTGATATACCCAGTCGACCAACATGCGATTCTGTGGAATAGACAATCGTAACGCTTGTTATTCTGTGAAACAGTCAATCGTAACAGGAAAGGCTGTACTGCGGGCTTTATCCAGTATGAGCAATGAGTTCAGATTAATTCGTTGCTTAATGTGTTTGTAGACACAATAGGATCAGCTGTAAGCATGCATGAATATAGATCAGGGTCTATAGCAGTTCCAGATTTAGTCAGGCTTGTCGGCTTATCAGTCTCCGGTATCGGTATCAGGTTTGTCGGCTTATCAGTCTCCGGTATCGGTATCAGGTTTGTCGGCTTATCAATCTCCGGTATCGGTATCAGGCTTGTCGGCTTATCAATCTCCGGTATCGGTATCAGGCTTGTCGGTTTATCAGTCTCCGGTATCGGTATCAGGCTTGTCGGTTTAT